CACTCTTTCAAAGACATTTTTCAATAGAAAGGCACTGCTATTCCAAAATGTGTTTTAGGAAGCTGATGCAATATTTTTTTCTAATCACATATTCCTAAAGAAGTTAATAAACTGAGAGTTTGTGGTGCAGACCTGCTCTAGTGATAAGGCAAGAAGACCTCCAAAAACTTTCTGCTCCTGTCAGCAGCAGAATCACTATTTACTTCTGCTTTTACTTTTAAACCAATTCCTTCACAGAGAGGGACCTCATAATATACTCATCCACTCAAAGATGGTAGACCTTTGACCACAAGTTCTTTTTTGTTAATGTAATAGCGTTTCAGAAACTTAAAAATACATAACAACAACAAAACACCACCCTAGAACTAAGCAAATGTAAGTTTTCCATCATTTTCAGGTGGATTTCATTACTGGTAGTGCATTTTAAATATGAGGTCACACAACTAAGTGATTTAAAGTCACACAGGAGTTTTTATTCAGCTTGTAAATCACAGAAAAAAATCCTCTCATCAACCCAAGTACGAGTTTACGGCAGCAAGTTTCTATTCATAATTGTAATTCTCAGAATAACTTACCTCTTCACCAGGATAAATGCCATGTCTTATTCCCGTTCGTCGGGCTTTAGCACTGCACTTGCACAAGGGTCCATCATTCATCTGTCAAAAATGAAATAGGAATCTGTTTTTATTGAAAAATGGTTTGGGAAAAGTATGTTGGTTTTAATGCCAGGAGCGCTGATGCTTCTAAAAGCCTGTCATGCTTAGATTAAGTGGATGTTCTTAAGCCAATAAAACTGAAAACAGTATAGACTACTGTAAGAACACTGCACAATAGCATTAGAACTTCATTACTGTTTCAGAAGCACAAGATGGTACAATGTTCTCAGCAGCATTGTGCTACTCTGCTATTATACATGACTTTTCTATTTCTTATACACAAGCAGCACACCTGTCTGCCTAACAAAATTCAAGTTAATCATGCACGTGCAAATATTTACACCTTGAAATCTCCACGTTCAAACAGTTCCACTACATTCACTGTCTGTAATCCCATCCCTGACTAACCCATGTGGCAAGGCTACCACCAGAAGTATGCAAAGAGACCAACTGAAGATTTTACTCGATACTTTAAAGAATTAACAGGAACACTTCAAGTTTATCCTGTGAGCAGATCAGTAAAAAAGAGAAAGGGGGGGAAAATATCCACTTCAGTGTTCTGTATGGGTCCACTAAGTAGCAACAGCAAAAAGAGCCATTGCAAATGTTATAAAGCCAGTGTCTTTCTATTTTAATGACCAAGTTCAATGCAGACTACCAGTTACTGTAATACCCTAAAGCTTTCTGCTCTTATCATGCCCACTGCAGAAACCCAACAAAAAACCCAGACCTGAAACAGAGATGCAAATTAAGTTCCCAACCCCAGCCCTTAATGGAGGTTTTCAGAGTCCAAATCCAAGAACATTTTTTTTTTTTCAGACTTAAGAGAAAAAACAACCTTGCAATGCAATACAAAACCTAGCATAACTTTCCATGCCATTATAAGCAGTCTGAAAACGTAAACAGCATCCACGGTAGGGCTATGTAGCATCAACATCCAACAGATATAATGTGAAGACACCTTAGAAAGCAGGATCCACCAAACTGCTGTTTATGTAGTCTTTAGACAGTTGGGAGAGGAACGCAGGTTTTTAGTTTTTAGTTTCAAATCTCTGAATGTTCATCTCAGTGTAATTTCTTCAGACTGGCACAATGTACACATGCAAAAGAACATAAGATGTAGGGCATTTCTCTAGTCCTTTGGGAACTTAGTCATGCAATCTTAACAAGAGTGACATGATGGCTTTTTGTTCATGCATTTTTTTCCACGCTCCAGGACCCTGGAGGAAAGTACAGGCTCAGTGAAGCTGAACCATGCTTATAGGTAAGAGAGCACATCCTCACTGGCTTCTACAGGCATAAAACAGAAGACAGTGAAAAAATGCAGTCAAGAGCAAATTGCTTATCACACCCCAAAAATAAGGGCCTACTGAGGTTACTGAAATAATCATCACTCATTTTTGAAAATCTCATCCTTAACTCTTAGGTCTGTTCAGCACTAAGACTGCCTCTGGTACATTAAATGCACAGACCAAAACTGGGAGAGATGTGAAGAACCTGTAAAGCCTAGGAAATGAAAAGCAAGTCAGATATATAGCTATCTTGTCCCTCTTGGCACAGCTCATGGCAACGAATGCAGAAGACCAGTCATGAAGTGATGACAAAACGATGTTGAAGTCATCACCAATTTTACCTAGGCAATAGCTTCCAGGTTACTGTGACCAACAGGGCAACACAAACAAGCAGATAATACTCGTAAGGAAAAGGCCACTGTGGTGGCATCAGCTTTAGCAGTATTTTTTTCTTGTGACTGCCAGCACTGATGGAGATTAACCAAAGTAACAAACACATTGCTCAGACTGAAGGGTTGAGAAGATCCATCCTAAAAATCTAGTTCTGTGTCACACTGTACTTTTGTGCGCCAGCGCGCGTGGCAATCATTCCTGGTTTATGTAGTGATAGTTAGAAAGCATTCTGGCAAACCAGATAAATACCTAAAAAAACTTCAAACATTTTCAGATAAAATCTACTCAGAAGTAGTACAGCACTGACAGGCTCACCACGATCTGATGTCAGCTCCTTTAAGAAAGATGAAGAGTCAGTCTCAAGAAAGTTTCGGGGAAAGAATGTTTTTCAGTACAAAACTCAAACCACACATTTGTGTATCTATTCATCCTACAGCTACTCCACTTCTTTTTATTTAGATAATATTCTGGCCTAGAACATTACTTTGAAGCGTACTCAAGAGCTACACAATTGCTTCAGTTAAATATCTACACTGTTTACTAATTTTGTTTTCCATACAAATGAAAACAGCTAGCTATGCTCAGTCATTTCTTTTTTTTTTTTCTTTTTGTAACTAGAAGCATAAATATGAGCCTGTAATAGAATATTCAACAGACCTTTGAAATACCACAGTGGCAACAGGCATTACAGTACGTCTACATATTATGATTTGCTGCATGCCAAACTCGTGCATCACGCAAAGTGCCAGAAAAATACATTTGCTAAGGTGCCATTTGACAATGATTTAGAATAGATTGTAAAACATTTAACTAAGAAAGATGAAGATGGCAAATTTGCTAACAAAAACTAGTCTTCTGTGCAATGTATACATTCAAAACAACACTTTGTGAGCTCAGCAATTACATTTAATGAGAACTATAATCTCCACACAATTACAAAAGAACCATTAGACAAGAAATTAGGAGCGTTAACTGCATATTTAAAACATTAAATTTATCATTTTGAGCTGAGAGCTTTTAGGTGAAAAGTTTCTGAAGTAGGTAAACATATTGCTTTTTCTCCATCCCAGAATTCATCTGTGTACCTTTACCTCAGGGCTAAAAGGACATGAATACATTGTTAGGAATTCAGGTTTTACTAACGGTGTCAGACATGAATCCAGCTGAATAATCCCCAGGACTCATGAGCTGGAACCACTCTCCTGAAATGTAAAGTGAAGTGCTCTGAAGATGAGAAAGAAAAGGTGGCTAAAAAATGCATATAGAAATAGATGTCACTCAGCATGTTTGACAACAACATAGAGTTTACAGGGGAGAATGTCTTTCAGACACACTAATATTTCCTCTCACCATACCTGTCCTGGATCATTGTACCACAGTTCTTCATGGAGACGATCAGGATGTGCTTTTTTACGCTTAATTTCTGCAATTACGTCAAAAACATCTGAATCTGAACTGCTAGAGCAGCTGCTGTCATCTTCAGAGTCACAGTCTGAGTCAGTGGAGCTCTCTGATTCACACAAGAAAAATAGAGTCAGCTGAAAAACCCTTTCACACACTCTCTTCTCCAACAGCAATGCATTCTCTAACATGATATAGCTAACTGTGGCACACTGAAAGTTATTGAAGTGGTGTATGACATCCACACTAACCAGAAGAGGGACAGCAACTGCATTTATAATTTTAAATCATAGCAAATGCTATGGATATTACATGTCTATAACAGCTGCATCTGTTTGCACGTGTGAGGGCTCTTTGGCTGTGCAGAAGCAGCATTTATCAGCTGGAGAACAATTCAAGTTACTTGACAATAAAAGCTACAGCACTATAACCAACAAGTATTATAGTAAAGTTTTTAAAAAAAAAAAAAGAAAGAAAATAGATAAACCAGAAACAATACACAGAAAGAAAACATCAAGTCACTAGCATGAGCTAAACAGAACATCATGTTATTTAAAAATTAATTCTGCTGGCTATGAGCAAAATGCTTATGTCAAGTTTCTGTTTACCTGAAGATGCTCCTGTCGGATGCAGGATATTGTCTATTTAAGGGTTTCAAAACAGTATGTATAAAATTGTTATGAAACATGCACAGTTAGATTGATTTTTCAAAATCAATTGTTTCTAAAAAATCCATTATCACATATTAGAAACCTCAGATAAGAAAATCTGGAGCTACTAGCAGAGTGAATCCGGGAGAAAATTTTTTGGAAGCCCTGTTCTGTGAATTTTCCTCCTTACTTTTTTTTTTAATACATTTTTCTTTGTATTAACAGAAACAATTTTTCTTATGTATAAGAGGGGAGAATGATGCTAAAAAAACAAACAAACAAACAAACAAAAGATGGTGTTATACTTAATAAAATGCCTCCTTTGTGGTGTTGTCAAAGTAATGTTACTGCCTGGACTTAATATTTTAAAAAAGGGAGTGAGGCATCTCGCTTATGGTGAGAGGCTGAGGGAGCTGGGTCTCGTTAGCCCGGAACAGACTGAGAACCTCATTGCTGTTTATAACTATGCCAAGGGCGAGTGTCAGGAGGGTGGAGCCAGGCCCTTCTCTGTGACCTTCAATGACAGGACAAGGGGCAACGACTGCAAGCTGGAGCACAGGAGGTTCTGCAGAAACACGAAGAAAAACTTTTCCACTGTGAAGGTGACAGAGAACAGCCTGCCCAGGAGTGTTGTGGAGTCTCCTAAACCCACCTGGATGTGTTCCTATGTGACCTGCTCTAGGTAGTCCTGCTCTGGCAGGGGGGCTGGACTACATGATCTTTTGAGGTCCCTTCCAACCCTTAACATTCAGTGATTCAGTGATCCTGATCTCACATACCTCTAATCTCCTGTGGTATTTACAAGCGACTCCCTTTCCTCTGCATGCACTCTCACTCATTTCCACAGATCTCCTCAGCTTCAACTTAAATAAATGCCTTCGTAGCAGGAGACGTACCATGATGCAAGTAAGGTTTATTAATCTTGGCAAGAGGGATGCAACATTTTTTTCCATTCCTAGGTTTTGATTTGAGAAAACATATTGCTACACTGCCAGTGCTTTGAAATACTGTGAAACTATGGTTTAAAATGTGTGTTTTTTGAATACAAGACTCTCCTTAGTTGAAAGGAAAAGGAGAGAGAAAATGCAAGAATATTAATAGTAAAATATGTTGTGGTTTTGGTTTTTTTTTAATTAAGATGTAATTTAAATCAAGACTGTTTATACAGTCCATAATTCAGCATAAGGTGTTATTAAAATATGTCCTTGGGACATATGGTTTACATGGGTTAAATATGCCCAGCTGAAATCAAATTTTGTTTAAATGGGTTTACACATATATTCCTACAAATATTCACAAACATCTCAGTTTTAAAAGCTCTCTGATAAACGTTAATCAATTGTATGTCTAATTTTAGGTGCAAAATGAATGTGGGGCCTCTGAGAATAAGCTGGAATTCTGAAAGACCAGTGCAGAATTTTTGGATTTCTTGTATTGAAATCAGCCTCCTATGATCTAAAAGTGCTCTTGGAGTACATTGTTACCTCACCACAATACAAAATTATTGCTAACACAAGACAGGACAGAGACAGCATTTACTTAAGTGCAAAATAAGACAAACTATTAGACAATACAGAACCATGGCTGTAGGAGAAGCTGGCACAGACACAAAGTCAGCCCAGGGGACCAGTGCAGCTGCAGGCCCTTTGGGTCCTCCAGAAAGAGTGGAAAAAGAAACACAGATAAGTTGCTCTTGATTCTATCATATTTTAGTCTGGAGTAGCAAAGGAACTCTCTCTGCAGACATCTGATGAAGTGAAGGTTTAAAAGGTATGTTAAATGTGTCAGCTTTGTCCTTAACCCTACAGTTACCTTTGCTAGTGATTCTTCAGTGAATTTAAATATATGCAAATCTGGTGTTTGAAAAAAACATAAAAGGTGTTTACTCTACAAAAGTAAATTCACATTTTATTTAAACAGTATTTATTTTTTTTTTCATCTTTATCTTTTTATACTGCAAATATGTAACTGACCGTGTCATTATATACCTATAATTCAACCTTAGAATTGTTGTTTTTTAAAGAGTAACTAAGCTCAGATATAAGAGTCTGAAGCAGCTCAACAGACAAACAAGAAACATCAGTTAAAAAGCAAGCCAAATGGAGTATCTAAATTCAGGTGATATGCCTAAGAATTTCTTGAACTAATGCAACTGACTGAAATACATACTATGAACCACTGAAATGCTGGAAGTATAAAAGGAACAACTAACATTTCTCAGAATAAAATAAGAAAAATAGCTTTCAGACTTCTGAGTAGACAAATTGCTATCCATGCTAATTCAACCAATATTTCCCCAATAACTGATACAGCTAGCAGGCTTATGTCACCCCTAGAATATGGGTAGTGCATGACAATGCAGATAAACTAAGTTTTGAAAACTGATGCTTCTGCATAAGATCACATTAAGCAGAGCTACACAAACAAAATACTGTCGAGAAGATGAACCCAGTGCTCTAACAAACAGCCATGAGTTTATCACCACTACTCTTGCTTCCTTGTCAGAAACACAAAGAGCAGAAGCTCCTCAAAGCCTTTTCTGTGTCATACTTTGGCCTATCCAATCACACTGAGGGGGCTTTCATGCCACGGAAGAGACTTCAGCATAAGGCAATGTTGGATACTCTCTATTTTCTCATAGGCTTTCTGGGGAAGGAATCTAGTGCTACTTCAGTCAAAAACAACAGTAAAACTTCCCTGGATATGTCATACAAAACAAGGAATTAAAAAAAAGCCAGACTGACCTACCAACATCATTAAATACACACAACAGTAAAAATCAGGTTACCTACACATTATTTCACTTCAGAGCTCTGCCATCATGGCTACGCACCTAAATCTTCATCCAGCTTGGTCTTTGGTGGCTCCCAGGGTGGCCTGGCTGCTTTGGCCTTTGCCTGTCGCTTCCCTAACTCGTCATCAAACTTCTCGTACAGGTCCCGGAGCTTGCTTGTTCCTACCACTGTAGAGTCCCCCTTATAATTAAAAAAAAACAGAAAAAGACAGTGTTGAAGTACTACATGAACACAACATGTACCAGCATTTCATGGTGAAAAGCAAGAGGGGGAACAGACAGATCTGTGTAGTTCAATGAAACATGGAAATGCTTGTTAAGGCTTTAGTGAACTATTCTGTTGCTCCAACAGGTGAATTAACAGAAAAATAGCTTAATTTGTTGGTGCATTACCATAAAATCCTTGCACTAAAAAAACAGAAATATGGCTAAGCATATTTAGGACAGCTCAGCATTGATTTTTTAACAGGTTTAGAAGAAACAGGAGACTTGTGAAAGTATTCTGCAATTAAAAAGAATTTTAGCACACACAAAAACACTCAGCTCATTTTGTTGCTTGCTTTGAATCACCATGAATTCCTTCTCCATGTCAGTCTCAAAAAAATACCCACCACCAACCACAGACACAGAAAAAAAAAAAAAAACAAAAAAACAAAAAACCAACCCACATCAGAAACCTGCCCCCCTCTATCACTACTCCACCAGAAAGTGTTACTGTGAAGTACAAAGAATCCTGACTTTCTGCTTCTGTAGAAAATTTCTTCCAGGCTGTGGGAACATACAGTGCCTGGGGCACCTTTGCTTAAATACAGGTGTAATGGAAAAAAAAAATACCTTTCCCTCCTGGAGACAAAAAAGTACCCCTCTTCCATGTACCACTACTCTGAATGCAAACAGACAGAAGAAAATTATTAAAATAGAGAAGAATACCAACAAATAAAGCCTTTAATAGGGTTAAAAGACTGAGATGGTTGTTGGGATAGAAGGACTGAATGACACAAACTATGATACTGCTGAAGGGTTCATATTAATCAAGTAATCAAGCATCAATAAAAGACTGTGCACAGTAACTCTAAAGTTCTCTCACAAACATACCACTTGATCCATGGGGTCATTGGAATAATAGCTTTCAGAGTGGGTACAGCGAACCCAGACTGGCTTAAGTAATTCCTCATCTTCCTCTTCATTTTTTTCAGATGCATTCTCTTCTGATTCCTTGTCTTTGATAGCAGTATAATTTTTCTCTTTGCTGGAGCTCTGATTCTCAGACCACCTTTCTCTGTCCTCCTCCCATCGAGGTCTCTTCCTCTCTCTGCTTGGAGACCGGCTTAATGGGAAAAAGCAAACAAAAGCTATTCTCTTCATTATTTTAAGTGACTGTTTTATCATGAAAAACAAATAGTTGGCTCCAGCTCAGTACATCATTCTATCATATAAATTACAGCAAAATCCAATTGCTTCTTCTTGCTTTTAACCTGCACCACAAAGAGTAGAGTACTTTGTGGTTTTAACCTACTCTAAGAAGTGACTTAAAATTGAAAGTGCTTTTGTATTTTAAAACTTATTCAAGGATTAGAATGAAAAAATATATGCTAGTTTAGATTGGAATTCCTATTTGCATTCTAAGTGACTTTCTTTTAATTCTGTTCCAAAGTTGAAAACTCATCACTAAAAACTAGGATTCCATCACTCACAACTAAAAGTTACAATATAAAGAAGCTTTATTACATAGGCCACAAACTATTTCTAACTCCTCAAGTTCTTGAGATAACTGACATTTGCATGTATAAGTAGATGCTTATAGACTGAAGTTACTCATCTTTTTTGAGTTTCAAACCAGGCATGTATGCATGTACACAAAAACTCACATGCATGGATGCACAGAGCCTCAAACATACAAGAGACCAAACGTAACCTTCCTTACCTTCCTGCCCTCTTGTAGTCTTTTTTGTAGGACCTATCTGGTGATGGTGACCTCCTGCTGTCACGGTGCCTATGCCTTTCCCTCTCCCGCTCCCTTGGAAAGTTCAAAACATAAATTAAATGAGAAAACTGTCATTTCATACATTCCACACTTGAAAGGAGCACAGAAGAAGGCTGAGATCAAGTTATGCAAAATGACATACACATGCAGACTGTTAAAAACCCCGACATGCTTAATGCTGACCTTCAAGAAATCTGTAAAAGACAGTCATCTCTCTCTTCCACCTTGGTCACAAAGACACCTATCTCAATAAGATGATTAATTCATACCACACAGAGGTACTGGCTATAAACTCACCATAAGACTTGTTGATATTCTTCCTCTTCTCCTGCTACAAATGGCAAAGGGGAAGACTACTGTATCTTTAATCATTCTTAGTTCCTCAAGGATGGGAAATAAAACATATTCCATGCACATTAGCTTTGTAAGCACAGTAGTCATTGAAGTGTTTCAGGCAACCCTTCTCTTCCTTACAACCACCTCAAGCACACACAAAAAAACGAGACACAGAAAATCTGCATCATGCTGAAACTACGAATCTCATTTACAAGCCTCAACTCACACACCACACAAAGAACTTGACCACCCAAACATATTTCTGGGGCAAAAGAGCTTTAAATTAATTGAAGGCCTGGGGAAGAGCAGCTTGAAAGCTGTGCAGTAGAAAAGGACCTGGGGGCATTCATTGACAGCTGCCTGAATAGGAGCCAGCAGTGTGCCCAGGTAGCTGAGAAGACCAACAGCATCCTGGCTTGTACCAGAAATAGCATGGCCAGCAGGACTACAAAGTGGCATCCCCCTGTACTCAGCATTGGTAAAGCCACACCTCAAACACTCCATTCAGTTTTGGGCATCTCATCACAAGAGAGACACTGAGGTGCTGGAGCATTTTCAAAGAAGGCCAACGAAGCTGGTGAAGGGTCTAAAGAACAAGTGTTATGAGGAGCGGCTGAGGTACTGGGGTTGTTTAGCCTAGAGAAAAGGAGGCTGAGAGGAAACCTCATCACTCTCTACAACTACCTGAAAGGTAGCAAGGTGAGGGTGTTGGAGAAAGAAGGTTGTAGCAAGGTGAGGGTGTTGGTCTCTTCTCACAAGTAGCAAGTGATAGGACAAGATGCAATGACCTCAAGTTGTCCCGGGGATGTTTAGATCAGATCTTAGGAAAAATTTCTTCCCTGAAAGGGTTTTAAAGCACTGGAACAGGCTGCCCAGGGAAATGGTTGAGTCAGCATCCCTGGAGGTATTTAAAAGCCTCACAGAAGTGGCACTCAGGGACATGGTTTAGTAATGGACTTGGCAGTGTTAGGTTAACAGTTGGACACGATCTTAAAGGTCTGTTTCAACTTAAATGATTCTATGAAATTACTGTGTACGTGAGGCAGCAGTTTTCATAATCTGCTCACAGCTGACAACTCATTAGTCCACAATCATTTGTGTATCTGTCAAATCTCCTAGTAAATGAGTCTGCTGATACACAAGGAATTATAAATATGTGCCTCAGGTGGTTTGGTGGGCTAATGAGTCTACATTATTTATGAACATATATATGTATGTCTCCATGTGCATAACATGAAATAGAATGCAAAGTGATGAAGCACGAAGTTCATAAATTATCAATTGTTCTTCCTTGTGGCATCTTCAAGCACAGATTTTAATCTTCAGGGAACATATTCTATGCCATCTGATTTCCTTCAGAGACAGATGCTATGGAAAAAACACACCTAAGCCAGCAAACAGCTCTCATTAAAATAAGGACACACATTGTCAAGTAGACCTGGAAGCTGTTGGCCTCAAGCAGTAATCCACAAATGTTTGAGAAAGAAGCTGCTGAAAATAAGTTTTCAGAACTTAAAATTGAACTTTAAAATCTGAACAACCAATTGTGAAATTATACGGCAAATACTTCATTCGCCTACAAAGGGCATAAAATTCCAATCTCACCTTACAGGAAAGGCCAGTGCCTTAATGTCAGATGGGTTCATTTTTCAGAAAATCCTCTTTTGGAAGTCCAAGTAAACTTACTGAATGTGATGTTTGGGGGTTTTTTTGTTTGTTTTGGTTTCTGTTTGTTTCTTTTTTGAATGCAGCCAATTATGGTTCCACAATTAAAGCAGCTTTGTTTCCACAGACATTATGTATAAATTTGTCTCACATGTGACAGAAGAAAGCTCAAAGCTTCTATAAATCAGAGCATGAGAACCAAGTGCCCTGATAAATAATTAGATACTTAATTTTCCACTCTCTCTCTTTGAATATTCTAACCTAGATCACCAAACACAAAAAGAATCATCAAGAGAACAAACCAAGACACCTGAAAGACTTAACTGATGATGGTTTGCTCTAAAACACCACACATCAAACTGCATCAGGTCAGCTCATGATTTGGAAGCTGTTTGTGTCTATGAAGCAGAGGGACAGAAACTTCATGATAAATCCCAGAACAAGCAGTACACACTCATCCATCTGAATCATACGATGTCAATGTATCCTACAATTTGCCTATTTCTTTTAACTGGTGTATGCTAACTTTCATCTCATTCCTCTCCTCAGGTCAGAGGCTGGTTTGCTGAGGTCTTCAGTGTAAACAAATCACACAGGTAAGTCTAGGAGGTCCCCTGAAGTCTGCAAATGTCTGTGTTGGCTTACACAAAGAAATATGGCCACCAACTGTGTGGGTATTCCCTGCTTCAGGCAAAGGCAAACCCATTCCTGGGCTTGCTTTTGCTTAAGGACCTGGACATACTTGGTGGGTGATGATGTAAGGTGGTGAAGTACAATGTGTACCCCAGGGAAATTTAACTCTGTGTGAAAATACTCCAGATTACAGCTGTATGTTAATTGCAGAATAGTAACAGTGTTTCGGAATAACTTGGGAATGAAGGGAGCCGGCTTCCTCAAGTGGCATCCAGTAACCTCCTGGGATGAATCTGTAACCTGCAGGTGCAAACCACGATGAACTCCATAACATCTTTCCTGCCCTGAGAGGCTGCTACGAGAGATGGAAATCTGCAGTCATGAACTTAGTGTACTTTTCTATAGAAAGAAATTATAACTTGGGGATAAGATATGATATTAATGATATGGAATATGGGGTGGAATATCCTGGTTTGGGGTGGAACAGAGCTAGAGAGATAGTTCTGTTCAATGATTTAACTTTTCAACTAAAGCTCTTCTAATTAACTGCCTTGTCTGAAGTTAGCAGCATGTTTTCATAAACTGTCTGCTTTTAGCAGTGATAACACTTCATGTTTAGTTAGTGCCAGGGGTTGGTGTGCAGACCAAGGTCACTGCTAAAGCTTGTGTACTACATGGAGAGGAGCAGAAAGTAAAAGCCGCACGTGCACAGAGGAGCGGACAGGAAAAGTGACCCTAAGATTCACCAGTGGGGTATTCCATCCCATATCCCTCATATCCAGTATGAAGCTGAAGGATCATGAGGGGCAAGCACCTTCTCTCTCCCTTCTACCTACTTCCTGGCTTTTGCTGCTCCTGCAGTGCCCGGCACCCGAGGAGGGCTCCACCCATCCTGCCTGTGACCCCGAGCCCTGTGCTCCTGAACCGAGTTCCAGAACCCAGCTCCTGTCTGTGGCTGAGTCCAGCCTGGGACCCTCTCCCCGGGGGCTGCCCCCCAGCACTGGAGGGGGACAGTGACGTATTGCCAGCAGGAGGGAGTTGGGTTCAATAGTGGGTTTGTATATATTTGTATATATACCATTTTATTATTACTTTTACTATTAAGGCTGTTCTACTTTTCTAATTGTTAAGTCTCCTGTCTGTTTCCCTTCAGGGGTGTGGGAGGCAATGGGGATTAACAGGGAATGTTACAGCTCTGGGGGCAGCCCTGACCCTAGACTGTGGCAAAACCAGATTCAAGTAACACCTGGAACCCTAACTCTGGTACCTAAATCTTGAAATTTGAAGTGCTTGGGCTTAACCATATGCAATGCTCAGCTTTAGCACGAAGTTGTGCCAACTCTACTTTCATGCCACATGTGCATAAGTCAATAAATACCCACGAGAGCAGAGCAATACTCGGAAATCCACTCAGTTTTTAAACCAGAGTTTCTTGGCTTCCAGGTACCTCAACGGACAAGGGCAACATGTCTGCCAGCTCACAAAGGTGAAGCAGGAGCAGCGTACCCGAAAGA